AAGTTTTTGGGTTCCTTGAAAGTTGCAATTGCATTACTAAATAAAAAGATTACAAATAACAAAAGAGAGCCTAAGCTCTAGTACTATCCGCCCCAAGCAAAGACAATAAGGAGGGGGGAATGTCTCTACTATCACTATCTCTCCAATTAAAGTTTCCAAAACAAGCTAAATTAGCACAATAGTCGGCGGGTTGGTTGAGCTCTCTCGGAACATGTTGGAAAATAACTTGCTTGAAGTCAAGCAGAAAGGAGAGGTCCGGGCCATCAGTTTGAACATGGAGTTTATGGAGCCGGTTGAAAGCGGCTTGGAGCCAAATGATTGCATTCCGGCAGTCACCCTCAATGATAATGCCGTCCAGGTTGTACATCCACTCTTGGACCGTTCCTTTGAAAGCCAAACCAGCAAGAATCTCGGCCATGGTGACATCCCATTGTTCCACAAGAGTTCCGGCCGCGGCAATTAAACGCCCCGTGTGGTCCCTAGCAATCACGCCAAGGCCGGCAACAGCATTAGCACGAACAGAGGCGTCCACGTTAAACTTTACCCACCCAGGAGGGGGGATGCACCAAGAACCGGTCGGAGACAGCCCACGGGGCTGAGAGGTGCACCATTGCTCCAAAGTTGGCATTGAATAACATTTCGGCAACATGGCCAAAGCATTGGCCGCAAGGACCGTTGGTGTGCCAAAGGATCTCCCATGCGTCTTGTCATTACGGGCACGCCACACCTGGTAGACAACATAACAATACAGTCTTCCCCCACTCGGGTTATGTTCCGCCGCCTGGGCAAGGCCATCCAGCATATTTCTCCACGAATCGAAAGTTGGCCTTGGGATACCCCACCGATCCAGAACCCGGAGGGTATCGGTCAGCCGCTCACAGCTGACCGTGAGGTGCTCCACCGTCTCCGCCTGGTTGCAGCCCCAAGGGCACCCACAATGCTCAATCAGGTTCCGCCTAAACAGCCAATGATTCGTGGGGATTGCTCCCCTCAGCACCCTCCACCAAAAAAACTGCTCCCTAGGGTGCAGTTTAAACTTGCGTATCCACAGAAACTGGTACCGGTCAAGTTGGAAGGTCCCCTTGTAAGCTTGAGCAGTAATAGTGGTCCCAAAAGGCAGATTAATAAATTCCGGGACATCCCCAACACCCCCGTCCCGAAGCTGGATGGCACACACACGTTCAGCCATGACCGGACCGAATGCATTCAGGACGAGATCCCTGTTCCAGTCGAAATTTTCATCTAAGAAGTCACAAATCTGCCGGCCATCAACAGCATCAACCGCAAAAAATGAAGGCCATTGTGCCAGATTTCGATTGGCAATCCACGTATCATTAAGAGCATCAATACTGTTGCCATTCCCGATCCTCCAGCGAATGATAGAGCGGAGAGCCATCGCCCCATCTCTAAGGACTTTCCAAGTAACGGACGCACTGCGCCCCGTCGGTGCATTCCATAAATCCAGCCCATATTTAGCTGCAATAGATTTACCAAGGAGTGAATCACAATTATGCAGAACATCCCACGCAAGTCTCGCACGGAGAGGACCTCGCCATAAGGATGAGGCATGGAACCCAAGGCCCCCAGCCTCCACGGGACAACAAAGTTCCAGCCACGAAACGTAGTGCAGTCCACGTTTGCTCCCATCCTTCTGCCAAAGGAATTGTCTAGCCATTTTTTCAATGTTGTTCAGCGTGCCCGGGGGGACCTCCGTATGTGTCATAAGATACATAGGAGTAGCAAGCAGCGATGTCCGAATAAGAGTGGCTCTCCCAGCCATTGAAAGGTGCCGGCGACCCCAAATGTTCACTTTATCAGCAACCACACGGACCACCTTGGCAAAGTCCGACTTGACAAGCTTACGCATCACCAGTTGGATCCCGAGGTATTCCAAAATCTGTACCCGGCGGAATTCAATGTCCTTAGCAATTCTCCTCTGTTTCCACAGCGGGCATCTTTTGCTAAACAAGATCGCCGATTTGGCACAGTTAATCCGCTGTCCGGTCCAGCAGCAGTACTCGTGGAGCAGAGCCAAAATCCGCCGAGCATTACTCCCACTTGCATCGGCAAAGATCAGGACGTCATCCGCATAAAGAAGATGCGAGATAAGAGGGGCATTCCTTGCAATCCGAACACCAAGATTCCCGCCACGCTGGGCAAACGCCTTGGTTAAGAGCTCCGAGCAGAGGATAAATAAATAGGGCGAAAGAGGACAGCCCTGCCGGAATCCGCTACGCCCGCCGATCCACTCGGTCCTGCATCCATTGATAAGTAATTGAAATTTAGGAAATGAAATGCACTGTATTACCCAGGTTATGAATTGCTTTGGAAAGCCCATCCGCTCCATCACTTGCTTGAGGGTGGCCCAATCCATACAATCGTAAGCTTGTTCCATATCGACTTTGAGGGCCATCATCCCCGAGAGCTTAGTCGAGTGCTGGAAGTTGCCAATGATTTCCTGCGCCAAGAGACCATGGTTGGAAATAGATCTACCCGGGACGAAGGCCCCTTGCTCTTCGCTCACAATCCGAGAGAGCACCGGCTTCATGCGATTCACAATAATCTTCGCCACCACCTTGTACAAGGATTGACAGAGGCTGATGGGGCGGAACTTAGCAGGTCCATCCGCATTAGGCACCTTGGGGATGAGGATTATAAGAGTTTCCTTCCAACTATCATTCATAGTGCTGGTACTAAAGAACTCGCGGATAGCCCGCAGCACGTCGTCCTTAATAATCACCCAGTAGAATTTGAGGAAGGACGTGGTAATGCCATCACGGCCAGGGGCACGGTTATTCCCCATAGCCTGTACCGCCTCCCAGACCTCGCCGTCAGTCACCTCAGAGATCAAAAGCTCAGCCAAGTGGCCCGGGACTTTGTCACATTCCTGGAATTCAGGCCAATCCAGGAGACAAGCGTCCCGCTCCCTCCATTTCTCGCGGAAAAAAGCCGTGAAGGCCTCACGGATAGCCCCAGCATCCGAGATTCGTTGCCCATCATTCATCTTGATGCAGGTAATTCTGTTGTCACGGCGCCGTCCCGTAGCAACCATATGGAAGAAGTGCGAGTTCGCATCCCCCTCCTCAATCCATCTGACTTTCGCCCGCTGCCGCCACCAAGTCGCAAGGCGAGCAAGAGTGTCATTCAGTTCCCCGACACAGATCCGCAATTCCTCCTCTCTATCCGGGGTTAGGCCCTCCGGGGAGCAATCCGAGTTTTGCAATTCAAGGATACGGCGTTCCAGAGTCGATTTGAGCCGGTTAAGGTTCATGGAGCGCTGCTTGCTCCAATGGTAAAGTGCCCGAAGAGAACGGTGGCACTTACGGTTGAGGACTTCCGCAGGATTGCCAAAATCAAATTTGGTCCAGTTCTTCTCCACAATTCTCCAAGCCGCGGGGTACGTAGTCCAGACATCTTCAAATCGCACCCACCGCTCCGGGACGGGGGCATTCCGTGGGCAAAGGGTTAAGAGCAGCGGGGCATGATCAGAAGAGATCCTGCCCATATGTCGCACGGTCGCAAGGGGGGCATCCCGAAGCCCACAAGAATTCATGAGGACACGGTCCAGACGGACCCATATCCTGCTGCCCCCCTCCTTATTGTTGGACCAGGTAAAACGCGGCCCCACAAAACCAAGGTCATGAAGATCATTTTGGCTCATGAACTCCAACATCTCAAGGAGCCCAGCAGTCGGCGTAACTCGCTTCCCTCCTTTTTTCTCGGTTTGATCAATGCAGCAATTGAAGTCGCCCCCCACCAAAGTGGGGCTCAAGCCATCACCGTGAACCTTAATAGCATCCCAAACAATGCGGCGCCGATGATAATCCTTGTCCGCATAGACAACGGCAACCGTCCACCGACGGCAATCCGGAAGGATAAGGGAGCCAATGACCAATTGTTCATTGGCAAACCGCACTTCAAAATTCAAAAGGCCCGTCCGCCACAGCACAAGAATGCCGCCAGACTTCCCGGTAGACGAAAGATGGAAGAATCCCCAATTAGGTCCGACCATTTTATCCACATCAGAACGGACTAAGCCCTCGATCTTAGTCTCAACTAAACCAATGAAATGCACATCATTGTCACCCACAAGGTGACGCAGGTAGTTGCCCGTGCATTTCTTGCGGGCCCCCCTGCAATTCCAAAAGAGGAGTGTAGACATTAGTCAACCATAGGGGACGCGTCCCCGCCGCCGTTGCTAATTCCACCCTCTTTCTTCCGCTTTTGTGGTGCCTCCTCAATGGGTCCAAGGGCCTGAAGTTCTTTATCAAAGTGCGCCTTGGAAGCACCAAGCTTCGGTCGTGCCGGCCTGGTTCCGGCTTTAAAGAGCAGCGGCTCGGTAATCCCTGGTTTCTTGTCCCCTTTGCTGGGTCTAAAATTCTCCTTCATGCGAGTCGCCTTTGGCTCTTTGATCTCACTAAGATTGACTTGCCTCGGTTTGTTCTCCCCGAGCGGCAGCTTTGCATCCGGTGCCGGCTTCCTCGTTGGCTTCTTGCCCTTGCGCGGGGCCACAAGATTCCATTCCCCGAATAACTTCTCATCATCGGTTAGCTCCTGACCTTTCGATCCCAGGACAATACCACATGGCGTGGCAAGCGTTGGAGAACCACCCAGCCCGGTCGTGTCCCCCGATTGGAGACTAGAATTGTCCCCCAATCCAGCTGACCGCAAGGGGGGGACCGGTGTAATAATGCCCACAACTGCACTACCACCGCCCAGGGGCGTCTTGTTGCTGGCCGACGAGCTGGCTCCCCCCTCCCCAGGAGACTTCAATCCTCCTGCACGGGCCGTAACGGCATTACCAGGAGCCGCAGAAGTAGTAGGACGAGACGGGCAATGCTCCCTCTTATGCCCAACCCGGCCACATTCAAAACACGAGAGTCCGAGCCCCTCATACTCGACTCGTTGGTAAAATCGTCCCTTCCAGCCATTAACCCATATGCCCGCTTGGAGTTTGGAAGCAAGATCCATCCGAATACAAATGCGGGCATATTCCCGTCTTGCTCTAGCGCCTGTCTGCGCATCGATCCAAAGCGGTTCCCCAATCATGGATGCAATTCTAATAAGATTATCTGGATCCCAATATTGCAATGGAAGCTGCGGCAAACGGATCCAAACTGGCGAAGACAGCCCCACCAAAGAGCTTGGCGAGAACTCCGGGGTCCAACGATCGAGTCCAACAATGTTACCACTGAAGAACCACGGTCCACCACAAAGAACAGCATCCCTAGCTTCCAATGTGTCAAAGGTACAGGCAAAACAATCAGTTCCAATGGTCGAGATTTGCAACTCACCAAACCGGCCCCATTGCCGTCGAATTTCAGCTTCCAAGACAAAAAAGGGCAAGCGACGCCCCAATATTTTACCCACAACAGCTTTTTCAAGAGAGTGGATACTACTTTCCACCAACTCCATGCGAAGATCCACCGTCACGCCATCGGAGGAGAATTGCCCTTTCCTCACGGGTTCAGAGACCTTGATGTGGTCTGGGCGCTTCCACACATTAGCTGCAGTGCCCCGGGTTTCAGCCTCCCCCGGTTTGCCAAAGATCCCTGCATTACCAGCGGTAGGCGCATTTCCTCGAACACCATGTGCGGACCAT